CATTCGTGCAAAAATATATTACAATGCATATTTCATGACACTTTCAAATTGAAATGTGAACCTGTTTTATTAAGATGTTTGCTGTACGTACAGTGGCAATTTGGAAATTAAATGTCTCTATCACATTTGAAAAGAACAAAGGCAACTTTCTAGAGTCTTTAAGCTCTTCTATTGTGGCTCATGTTTCACAGGACTTGCGCTCGAGCTCTTGTATCGCAGGTTCAATGCTGCACCGGGTGCGCTACTGAGCAAGTTTACTACATCAGAAAAGACAAACATATGGAGCTGCTTATGAGATGCAAACATCAAAAAAAACAAAGTGTTTTGAGGTCATGACACCTCTTGAGTACTGTGCCAGAAGCTGCGTGAAAAGTTGTTGGTGTTTTACTGACACTAGTGTTCATTTCAGCTGGAAGTTGCAGTGAATATGTTTTTGGAGTTTTGCAAGCACGTTTTTCCTATGTTGATAATTTTACAATAAATTATAGTTATTGTACTGTTTTCCTTTTTCTTTATTCCCATTACAGCATCAAAAAAATTGGCCGTTGGGTCACTTCCAAACTTTTTGGATGCATACTCAACGAGTTTTGAGTATGCGTTAGATAAGTGCTTATTTAAATTCAATTATGTGTACGTTGCATATGCTATCATTAAATTACATCAGCACCATGCTCTCTAGATATCCGTACTGGCATCGGCATCAGTCAAATCCATCTACAGTATATAGAACTACATTTGTTATCTATCTGCATACGAAGAGAATCGATGTAAACGCACACGTATGCTGGCCAGTGGAAGCTGAGCTGCGTAGCATGAGTGTTAGCTGTGGGGAAAGATCCAACACACTGTTAATCCCACGGCTCTGTTTTGTAAGCAAATCATTATCGAGACTATTAATGGCACACTGCAGAATTCTCCCTTCCTCCCTCTCTCTCTCTGTCCTTCTCTTGCTCCCACTCAGTCTCTCTTTTCAGTCCATTTCTCCCACCTTCTCCATCTCCATTTCTCTCAGTCTGTTTTCGAGCTGCCTACGGAGCTCCCGACGAGAAAGCTGATCTTAATGATGCTGACTCGCAAGAGATCTTGTTTTAGCCAAATTGTAAGGGAGCAATGAATGTATTCTTCACAGGGAAGCCAATCCCATAATGCACTGCAATGAGCTCTGTGAAAATTGCTATAAAATTGTTATAAACCTATAATTCATTGAATATTAAAGTGGATAAACTCTATTGAAATCAATTGAGTCTCTAATGCAGAGCACTACCTGTGCTGTGTGTGGAGTTGCTGACTATGTAGAGTGATCCAAATTAGCCATTACTTATTCAGAACACTTTATATGATTTGGAACACTATACACACACTACGCTGTCTACATAGAGTGTTCAAATCAAGCAATTATAATTTAGAACACTCTATATGATTTGGAACACTATACACGCACTACGCTGTCTATATAGAGTGTTCAAATCAAGGACTTATAATTTAGAACACTCTATATGATTTGGAACATTCTACATGCACTATGCTGTCTACATAGAGTGTTCAAATCAAGCAATTATAATTTAGAACACTATGCGTGATTTGGAACACAATACATGCACTACACTGTCTACGTAGAGCATTCCAAATCAAGAACTTGCAATTTAGAACACTACACATGATTTGGAACATTATACATGCACTACGCTGTCTACATCGAGTGTTCAAGTCAAGCAATTATAATTTAGAACACTACACATGATTTGGAACACTATACATGCACTATGGTGTCTACATAGAGTGTTCAAGTCAAGCAATTATAATTTAGAACACTACACATGATTTGGAACACTATACATGCACTATGGTGTCTACATAGAGTGTTCAAGTCAAGCAATTATAATTTAGAACACTACACATGATTTGGAACACTATACATGCACTATGGTGTCTACATAGAGTGTTCAAGTCAAGCAATTATAATTTAGAACACTACACTTGATTTGGAACACTATACATGCACTATGCTGTTTATGTGGTGTGTTCTAAATCAGGAACTTATAAATCAGAACACTCTATATGACTTGGAACCAGTTACGTACACCACACTGTCTATGTAGAGCATTCAAAACCTTCTAAATCCACTATGCAGTCTATGTAGATCGTTCCAAATCAGTAACATATTATTTTGAACACTCTATATGATTTGAAACACTACACTTTCTATTCGCTGTTTGTGAAGACTGTTCCACATCAAGCACTCATAATTTAGAGCACTCTACATTCACTATGCTGTCTATGTATACAGGACATTCCAAACCAAGAACTTGTAATTCGGAACACTCTATATGATTTGGAACATTCTACATGCACTATGCGGACTATGTAGAGTGCTCCAAATCATTTAGAACATTCTACATTATTCGGAACATTGTACATGCCCTACACTGTCTATATAGTGTGTTCCAAATAGAGCAATTATAATTTAGAACACTCTGCTTGATTTGTCTTTTCACTGTTTGTGAAGAGTGTTTCACATCAAGCACTTATAATTTAGAGCACTCTACATAGACAGTGTAGGGCATGTATAGTGTTCCAAATCAGGAATGTATCATTTAGAACACTCTACATGATTTAGAACATTCTATATGCACTACGTTTTCTATGTAGAGCATTCCAAATGAATCGCCTGACTGTTAGGATGCTGCCTTAGAAGGAAGCTGTCTATGTAGGCAGCAGGCAGCGAGACAGCTCAGTAGGTTTTGGAAAAGAGCTTCTGTGTTTTTTTTTCGAAAAAAACTCTATTTGAGCTAAACGTGACTGAAAACATTGGATGCCAGCCTCCTACTGATTGTGTTAACACATTGCCTGGGAAACTTCAGCTAAACGACAGCAATGCTGAACATTTTAGACCCAGACATTTTCTATAAAGGTAAAAGAGGGGGCAGAGAAGGAGAGGAGACATTTCGAAATGATTCGCTGTGTGCTGGGAACATAAGAAATCTGAACATTTAGTACTACACGAGTTATGCCACACAGAACAAAAAGTGATGCTGCAAAACACTCACCATCAGAACTAATATTGATCAGAGTGTTAATATAGCTGGAAAAAAAACGTTCTATTCAACCATTAACTCTTAAATTCTCCATTAAACATAAGAAATGCTTAAAATAATAGCAAAGAGTCATAAAGAAATGTGCATTACTTGAAACTACATAAAATCCCATGCTAGACCAACAGATTCTGTGAAATATTGTCCCAACCAGTCAAACACAATTGTTTTAAAAAACAAACTGAACAAGATTGCTGAAATGTTAAGGGTTTGTGAGTTCCCAGCATGCACTGCAGCATGAATAAATGGTGTGCTTATTTTACAGTATTACTGTTTTTCTGTCTTTTTGTTGTTTTGTGATTATTGTTAGTTATTTGTTGTGTTGCGACGTTAAGAGCTCATCTTTTTACATTTGTATGTTCCTGAGGTTTTGTATGTGAAGTGTTGAGGTCTACAACCATCTAAAACTACTCTATATGTCAGATATCTTTACTTTGTAAGGTTAACACAAACACAGCTCACTTCATACATCATGTGGCCTGTAAAACAAAACATATATGATTAGTTTGCTATGTTGCTAACTGTAAAATTGAACAAGAAATCTGTAGTTGCCTTGATTAATGTATTGGCTGAATGAAAATGTTCAAATTCAAACATAAACAAAGAGTGTTACTTTGAACAACAGTTGAGAGAACCTGAACTGAATGCATCATGCAGCATTTAATTTTTAAGTTTCGTCAATTCCTTTTTTGACCTGTGTGCTATTTTCAAAGTCTGACAGCTGTGTGTGAAGATGCTTTTATTGAATATTGGGTCACGCTTTATTTTAAGGTCCAATTAACAAACCATTAACTGTGACTTTTGCTTCAACAAACTCCTAATTTGCTGCTTATTAATAGTTAGTAGTTGTTAAGTTTAGGTACTGGGTAGGATTAGGGATGTAGAATATTGTCCTGCAGAATATGTGCTTTATAAGTACTAATAAACAGCCAATATGTTAATAATAGGCATGCTTATAAGCAACTAGTTAATAGCGTGCATTGGTCCCTTTACTAAAGTGTTACCAAATATTGGTTGCATATGGATGATAATGGAAATTCAGAAGGGTTTTGGGGTCAATTTAACAGTATAAATAAACATTCACTTTAATTGCATGGAAAAGAGCAGCTTGAACCTTCTGCGAAACATCTCCTTTTGTGTTCCACAGCTGGCAGAAAGTTTGATTTTCACTTCAAGTGTTTAAAATGACACGAGGGTGAATAGATGATGACAGAATTTACATTTTGGCTCACTGTCACTTTAAAAATAGGGACTGTCGTCCTAGAGAAACCTGCACATAAGTGTACTTCAAAGGGCACAATGGTGTCTTTCTCGATCACCACTGAACCCTGAGGTCACACCCTGTTTGATCCTGATAAAACTACAAGAATTAAACTTAAACTCTGCCATGACCTTGGAAACTGATAGTATTGCAATAAACATACAAATTTAGCACAGGTGACTCTGTAACATGCAACAGTTGCATTTGGAGCTTCAACATGCACCGGATCGCACCGAATGTTCGTTAATCATCAGCAACAGAGCGGCCTCTTGAGACTTTAGAACCACACGCAAACAAACAAACGCAAACCCAAGCTGCCTGGGTGCAATTCGGCTAACAAATCACGTAGAGGCCCTCGAAACGGTGGACGCCGAGGGGTCAAAGACTCTGAGAACATTGCAGCTCACTCAAGCAGCATCATCAGTTTCAGGATAAACACTCACTCAAACCAGCCTCGTCTAGACAACATCGCATCCTTCAGATTAAAACAATCCAATACGCAGATACATCAACATACCATGCTCCCGCGGCACCCATCCATTTCTTCAGAGAGCAGCGTCTCAGGTAGAGAGCGATTATGTGCGTGCAGAAGGAGAGAGAGTGAGTCTAGGTAAAGAGATGTGTGGAGGGTGGGGTTCGGCTCTCACCATGCTCAACCCAAACCCCGCATTGGGCTGGCAGGCGGGTGTAGATCTGTCCTCCTTCTCCGTCCACAGACACACACAGCCCCTGCGATCCTCTCACCGACGGCCAGCTCATCCACGCGCGTCCGTAGCGGCTCTCTCCAACAGAAGAGCGAGGGTGGGATCGGGAAGGCGGCTCAGTGGAACCGCATCAGGGAAGAAGCATTCCTTGGGTTTGGGTGGATGGGTAAACCTTAAAGCGGAGTCGCTTTCCAGAGGAAGCCTGGCAGCTCGTCTTCCTTCCACGCGGAGAATCCAGAGAGAGAGCGAGAGGGAGAGAGAGAGTGTCTACAGCTACAGTCCATGAATGGTGCAGTGCTGTTGTTGTCATGGTAACCACTGGGGAGGAGGCTGGTGAAGTGGTGAGGGGGAGTGAGAGAGCGAGAGAGAGAGCTGCTCTGCAGAGGGACACTGGAGCGCTGGAATGACAGACTGGAGAAACTGGAGGCTCTGGGTCTGCTGTGACCTCATGTTACCCTTGAAAATGCCATCGAACTGCCTATTCATCTGCTAGTCCATTCATCACATTATCAGTCTATGTTCATCTCACACTTGCCCCTGCTTCTTATTTTATAATCCATTCATTCTTATGAATATGGGGTGACAAATCATTAATGTTAATGTTTGTGCTCATTTTAAACTCATTTTAAAAAATGCGATAGCGTCAAAGTGTGTGTGTGTGTGTGTGTCTGTATTTTTTTCCCTTTTTCAATACAATGAAAGTCAATGGGTTCCAATGTTTGTTTGGCTTTAAATGCATGGACAAAGTTGAAACACAAAGTTGAAATGTATACATACACACTAGATATTTTTATTTTTACATTTCAAATTTTTTTTTTTATTATTCAATTTTGTGGTTTTATTAGCTTTTTTTATTTTATGTATAATTTTTTTTTATATGTTTATATATATATTTTTGCCATTTTCATTTCCATTTTAGTTATTTTAGTACATCAAATTAAACTAAATGAAAAATTTTAAATATTTCCTTAATAATAATAATTATTATTATTATACTGTTACGGGGCGAACGAGACGTGAGGATCCATATGCAAGGCTTTATTTCCAAGACGTGGTCATATAACAGGCATGGGTCAAACAATGGCAAACAGGTACAACACAGGCAAGACAAAGAGTAATCCTAGGACAAGCGTGGGTCTTCGATCGGCGAACAGAATCCAGAGGGCTTGACAAAAGAGTTAATCCGTAAACACAAACAATAGTCCAGACAGGGGCAAACAGAGTCCAAACGGCAAGACGATAGGGCAATCTGAAATACACAGGCAAAGATCTTCACACAGGAAAACAGGCAAGGCAAGACTAGACTAAACTAAACTAGGAACCATGAACTAGACCGGGAACTGGCCCCGTAAAGTAGCTATCCCTAGGTGAGCGATAAATGCTAAACAATACTCGGCGTTGACTGGTGGTGTGAGACTGATTTATATAGTGTGTGTTATTGGTAGCAGCTGTGTGTGATTGGTTTCAGGTGAGCTTATGATTAGTGCAATGGAGCATGGGAAATGTAGTCCAGGGTGATGTGTAACAGTCTGTGTAGTGTAGACTTGTGCCGGTATTCGGTGGTGCGATATATCACGGTAATGCATATGCACGATATTGTTATCGTGGGCTCTTCTAAATACCGTGAATAATTATATATTACAAGTTATTCAGAATTTTGAATGCATTTTAAGAATACTTTTCTCGTCAACTGGTCAAAATGCACAACACCGCTGTATGCTTCGTGAAAGACGCGTGTGCACTCTGACAGAAATAAGAGAAGCACATGGCGGAACATGTGAGATACGCTCTGGATGAAAGTGCACTTTCACTCTCTGACAGCAGATGGTGCTAAACTGCAGAAATAATAATAATAATAATAATAATAATTCATTTAAATGAAACCCTGTAAACAAAGCAGCTGCTCTACTTTCTGTTTCTGAATCGTGTTTAAATGATTTAAACAGCCATTCAGATTTGCGTATTTGCTATGATGTTCATCACAGC